TGAAATACTTTCGGTAAATTCTGCTTGCCCCCCCGCCCCGGTCAGGTTTGTGGAAACTAATTTCATCTGGTTTCATTTCATCTTAGCACTTCTAGACCAATGCCAGACTCCCAAAGGCAATTACTCTCCCATGAACTTTCTTCTATTTCCCGTTCCTTAAAAAACATTGCCTCAGACGGGTAATAAACAATAGAACCCATTCTGGGAGAGCTTTTTCAGACGCTCTCTCTAAAATGAATACATTAGGCCGTTGCTTTTTGGGGAAAAAAAAGAGTGAATGTGGCTTCCTTCTCTATTAAAGCAGCTCTTCTTCCTGCAGCTGCTCTAGTGCCATAGATTTTAATTCACTGCCAACCACAACTTGCATAACAGGCCAAGTTCTAAGCGCTTGTCAAACCAGCAGCTACAAAGCTAGAAGCCTCTCCTGAACCTCTTCTGCTTTAGCTGTACAGAAAGATACACAAAACCAAAGAAGGCAAATAGTTCAAGTCAAGGTGGAAGGGGCAATTTCTGACCCCAGGCCCAAACTAAGCCCTCCAGCCCCATCAAAGTTCCGCAGAAGAAGTTCATTATTAACACAGCTTTCATTCTATAATACAGATTGGGATTTGGATGTTTCACGGTATAATAAGCCTTCAAAAGTCAAAGATCCCTTTGTCAGACACAAGTAGTAATGGAGATCCCTGAGCCCTTACATCTCAGTCAGAAGGAGAGCTCAGGGGATCTCCACTACTACTTGTATACAATGAAGAGAGCTTTGAGTCTCAAAAGCGTCCACCCTAGAAATCTTGTTGATCAGTAACATGTTACTGGACCGGAGTCTAGCTTTTCTGCTGCAGACCAACACAGCTACCCGCCCGAAACCATGACAAACGGGGGATGCTCACAGGCCTCCACTCTGCCACAAGTTTTGCCAACCCTGTACTCAGAATGACACTCCTGGCTACTGTGAGAACTTCTCATTCGTTCCAAGACAAGTTCAAATGGGGGCTCCCACATTTCTCGACCAGACTGCCTGTAACGTTATGTCTGAAATCATACTTGTCAGGGGGCTAAGCATGCACCACTTGAAGGCACAAAACCACGAAAGCATTTATCCCCCGCTGGACAGAGTTTTGCCCCTGCATGCACTGATCGCCCAACTGGTTCTTTCCACAGCTGGACTCTCACCTCCCAATTTCATCTCTGCCTTTTGAAACTATATGATTGGAAGCCTAAAAATAATGCTGCCTTGCTAAGGGAGTCCAACTCTGGTCTGGCTGAGTTCCCACTAATATAATTTAATTAGGTCACATTGCTTTAGGACCATGCTGTAGGGGAAATAACTTCTATTTGTTCAGCATGCACCCTGTCTTTACACCTTCCTGTGCTCTTCAGGCAGTTCCCAGTTGCTTGCACAAAACAGTCTAAAACTATGATATAATTATTGTTTTACAAACATAGCATTAGAAAACTGCCAAGCCATTAAACGTACAACAAAAACCACATTGCAGTACATCCTTAATCACTCAACAGCAACCAAAGGCCTTTCAAAATAAAAACATATTTTAATATCCTCCTAAAGGTCAACAAAGAACAGGAATGAAAGGCCTCCCCAACAAGAGGATCCCATCCGAAGCGCCGGAAGTAACATCGGTAGCCGCCCGGAGAGAAAAAGCAACAGCAACAGAACGCATGCCGCTGGGTGCTCGTAGGCAGCCCCCTCCCAAAAATGAATTGTGGCCCTAGATTAGGTATAATTGATATATATCCTCTAAACCGCTCTGAGACCCTCCGGAGTCAAGAGCAGTATAGAAATTGAAACTATAAATAAATAAAGAGTCTGCCTCTTTCTGTGTGTACACTGTGAGAATCAAGTGTCTTCCTGTACTACAATCTGACTCTTCTTAGTGCTTCTAAATCCGTGTCCCTTCTTACCTTTTCCAATCCTTTTTCACAACTGTTCCACTCTCCCTACATCCTCCCCTTCCTGCAGTCCTTTGTCACACCCTTCTCTCTTCCAACCATTCATTTTCTTCTGCTTTAACAGGTTTTTTCCCCCCTTGCTGAACAAGGCTTCCTACCTTCATCTTAAACTGGAAACAAATAGTTTGCTAAGGGACATGATTAGCTACAAAGGCACCTCCTGGTGGCCACACATGGCAAAATGATTAATAGGAGAAAACCAACAGGGCTATATATGCCTTTTTTGCAAACCTACCTGCTAAGCCATACTTATTATAACACCTACCTCCAGCCTTTTCCCCACCAGGAAAGCTACTGGAAGCTCCTATATACCCAGCATGGCTGAGAATAGAACAGGCATTTCACAGAATCCTTCGCCCATAATTTCCCACCCCACTTAACCATAGGTTAAAAGACAACAACAGAAGAACTAAAAATGCAGCATGGTTTTACCTAAGAGTGTCTCAGTGAGCACCAGAATAACTGAAGGGCACCAGTGCTCTGGTTTAAGAGGATCTGAAGAACATTTTTCTCTGCATCTCTGTAACCCGAGGGTTCTTTCAAAGCGAAGACTTGACAAAGAAACCAATGGTCACTCAGGAAAAGGCAGATTGCTGAAAGAAACAAACTGAAAGGAATTTTGCAAGAGTGCTTTCCACGTAAACAAGAGCAAAGAGAACAATTCCATGAGAGCAGCCCCATGCCAAATTAGCTGCACCAAATCCCACCAGAACCAGTACTGCCTACCAACCTCTGCATAGGATTGTAGCCTTCCTTGGGAGCACTCCCCACAGAACTGTGTGATCTCACTTCTAAGTGTACCTTGTGATAAGAACCCTTATTGTACAAGCTATCAGGTATCTTTTGTGGGTCCCTTTTTAATATCAAAGTTGGTGGTGGGGGGGTTGCACTTGATACAAAATCCTACATAAGGGAAGTATAGTGGGGATTCAATGAGGAGGACGAGTGGGAAGATTTTGATGCAGAGAAGTGAAACAAAAGAAAAAGTTTAAGAAAGAGACAGAAGAAGAAAGATTGAGGACAAGGCACAAGGCTGCTGCTAGTTACTGGAAATCTGGAACACCACAGAGCCGTGTGGTACAAAATAAAGAATAAGAAGATTATTCTCCTTGATGTTCTGGAAAGATAACAGGTCTGGAGATAACAGATCTGGAAAGATAACGGGTCTGGAGACCTAAAGGATACATCCTTATCCATACTTTCTTGGGTGTTAAGTTCCCACTAAAATCAGCAAATGTTGCTTCCAAACATGCATATTTTCAGACTGTAGGAATAACAGCCCTCCAGCAACATAAAAAGAATTTTCTGCTTGGAAATGGGCAGGTGAATTGGGAGATAAATAACATCCCATTAAGCTTCTGTTAAAGGCACAGGATACTTCTGCATAGGCCATTTGATCAACCCTAGACTGCAGTGTCAATCTCCCTTTTCACTGCTTCCCTAACAGCAGCATTGGGTTTCACACATTTATATAGGGCATGGAAATTCATTAGTATTTGCAAGGAGGGAACTGGGATAGTAATAGTGGTTAGGGCACATTCATTAAACTCAAATTATAGACTTTATTACTAGATCCCTGTTTAGCAAGAGCCGTTGCTTAAACCTGAGCCGTTGGGAGGACGGGGTATAAATCAAAAAATAAAAAATAAATAAAATAAATAAAAATACTAGAAGTGCAGCCCAGTCAGTTTGTTCCTGCAAAAAACAAGACAGAACCTTGCAGCACCTGGAAGGCTAACCAATGTGCAGCGTCAATACTATCCTTGTGTGCACTTACAAAGGAGTAAGTTCTACTGTGTTTATTGGGACTTACCCCATTAGGAAGCATCCATAGATTTGCAGCCATATTGTAAATCTTTCATGGCAAAGAGTCTGTTCCATCAGGGTCTCCCTTCATACATCTGATGAAGTGGACTCATTCTTATGCAAGCTTACATTGCAATACATTGGTTAATTTTTAACACTGTGTTTGTTGGGCGGCTGATCACAGTGTGAAGGTTATCAGTGACAAGTAACATATAGGGTTGCCGATGGCAGGTTGGGAAATTCCTGGAGATTTTTTTGGGGGGAGAGATGGAGCCTGGATATAGTGTTGTTTGGGGATGTGAGGGACCTCTCTGAGGAATAATGCCATAGAGTCCACCCTCTGAAGCTTCCATTTTCTCCAGGGAAACTGATCTCTGTAGTCCAGAGATCATTTGTAATTCCAGGCGATCTCCAGCCCCCACCTGGAGGTTGGCAACCCTAAGTTAGAGTAGGGAAGCAAATGAGATGCCGGTTAAAGAGATGGATACAGCCACTGCAGGCAGTCAAAGCAGTGGTTTGGTAGGAGCTCGGCTTGTACGTTTACATCCTAACATTTAGATCTACACACATCGTGATATCCCATTTCATCATGAAGTGAGCACTGACTCGCAGAAACTTATACGGGGCTAAAATTGTGTTAATCTTTAAAGGTGACACCAAACTGCTGTTTCGTTGCCACAGACTGACACGGCTACCCTCTGGAATTATTAGCCAGTTATCAGAACAACTCTTCTGCGCTAACTCTACTGCAGATATAACAGGGAGGGGGCTGTGGCTCCGTGGTAAAGCACATGGTCGGCTTCCATAAAGTCCCAGTCCAGTCCCCGGGATTTCCATTCAAAAGGATCTCAGGCAGCCCGTTTTAGGAAAGACCCCGGACAGCCGCTGCCAGCCCGATCAGACAATACTGAACCAACAGCCTGAGCGGGTATAAAGCAGTTCCATAAATTCAACACTTACACACAAATCGGCCACCGCAATCCGCCTCACAGTTTAACAATTAAGCTCAGATGTCTCGTAACTGACAACTGTAGGCTGTTTACTTCTTGTTGCTTAACAATTACCCTTTCCAAAAAGGACCTGCTTTTACACACAGCGTCAGCTCCCCTCTATCTACGAGAGCACTGCCTTGGAGAAAGGAGACGTTCCAGGCACCGAATTCAGGTGCAAACGCACAACTGAAGGCTTTTGAGCCGCCTCGGCTTCCGTCGCCCAGCCCTGTAGCTGGAATGGTTGTCCAATGAACATGTTCTATGCCGTGCTGGGTATTGCCGTCCTCGTCTCTTTGCTCATCGTCGCCCGGTTCTTTTATGGGAAGCGAGTCGGTGTCCCGCGAAATACGTCCGTCAGTCTCCTGGTGGTGGCTGGTTCAGGTAAGACAGAAACAGCGGCCTCAATC